CTGATTATAATACAGAAAATTAATTGCTTTTGACTGTAAAGAATTATGACCCATTCATTATTTAAGAACCTTCTTGATGGATGAACCTTTTCCACTTACTTCAAGACTTTTCATGAAATAAGGCTGCTTTTTTAAACTGGTATAAAGCATAATGCACCTATATAAAACAATGGATGCACTGCATGCTCTTTAGGGGTAGAGATTGGTGGGGAAAAAACCCAGCACTTTCTCTATGTCTAGTTAGCTTGAGTATTCAACATACAAGAAGTAGAGCCTGCTGGGAGAAGAAAGAGGTAAGTTACTTGAACAGCATTTAAAATAAATATTTTTTAAAAAGGAAGATTTATTAGTTTCTTAAAATGCCCTGCTAGTAGAGAATACTGTTTTAGTTTTGTTTGTGTGTGTATTAGAAGTGTTTGTGTTACATACTGGGGCGACGACCTTATATTTAACTCAAGATCTATTCCCCTCTGGTCACTGTTCAGCTCCTAGCTGCTGTTTCTTATGCTGCCAGTTCAGAAGGTCTCAAATTATTTTTGTGTATATTTAAGTCTTTGGTCTCATCCTTTTAGCAGAGTAAGAAAAAAGAAAAAGTCAAACTTCTTAGGCCTTATTGATTAAAACCAGCAGAAAGAACTAAAATACTGTTTTGGTTACCTCTCAGCCCAGAAGCATTTGCTGAATACCCTTAGTAGCTGAACCTCTTTAGTCGTGCACCACAGAAATAAACATGAAAGTTTGTTCATGAGGCAATTGTAGTCATTTTTTTGTTGTTTCATAGAACCATAAAATACTTTGGGTTGGAAGGGACCTTTAAGGGTCCTCTAGTCCAACCCCTGTGCAGTGAGCAGGGACATCTTCAGCTCTATCAGGTTGACCCCCCGCCCCGTCCAACCTGACCTTGAATGTTTCCAGGGATGGGGCATCCACCGCCTCTGTGGGCAACCTGGGCCAGTGTTTAACCACCCTCATTGTAAAGAATTTCTTCCAAAATAACTTCCAGAGCATGTGGTTCCTCATGTCAAATATGACAGATAGAGTGTTAATTCATTACCGTACAATTGTTTTCCTAGTATCTTCATGGTAATGAAATTGTTGATTAGGTAACAATGATTTTGTTAAGCTTTTTTCCTTGAGAACAGGTGACAGTAAGTACTAACGTGAGGGTTTATGGTGGATGAACACTTGCACTGAATCCTGTCCCTTAGCCGGTACACTCACCGGAGGAGGAGTTGGCGCTTTTCCAGATGTGCTGCAATTTTCACTTCATTTGTGCAGTCCTCTCCGGTCAGATTCTTAGGTCTCAATTTTTTTGCAGTTGTCTTAACACAGCCTACATGTAAAAGTAAGTTGCTAGGGATGTTGTCATTTCCTTGTTACTAATTGGATTTAAAGGTTTTGCACAGTATATTCAGAATACTGTTTTTTCTCTTGCATATCTTACCTTTGCTTGTGAAAGCAACTGCTTTTGCATTTGAGGGGGATGCTTTTTATCTGAAAATTAGTTTCTTTAGGAGTTTAAGAAAATAGATTTATCGTGCTTTTTTTTATGTATTAGAAGGATTTGAGAGGCAGTTAGCCAACTGACATTTAAAACCCTTAAGAACTTGTTCCAGCCAAGCCTTTTGCAAAAAAGTAAATGCAGCTAAGGCTTAGTGACTGAAATGATTTTAGCTGGCAGTTCAGTGCATGTAATCATCTTGGAACATCCTGAAACTTGTTCTTTTGTTCAGCTGTTGTATCAAGGCTTTTGGGTTGTGTCTGTGAACTTGTCACTTTTCTAAATCAGAAATCTCTCTCATGCTACTGAAGCACTGTGATTTTGAACATTACGTTCATTGTGGTAGCCCATACAAAGGACGCTTCTTGTACAGGGAATGTATTTCTGACACTTTCTAGATGGCTGTAATTCAGAGCTGAAGTGGCGACTTGCTAGTTTGACATCTCTAAGTGATATGGATTGTTTGTCCTTGCTACATTCTTGGCAAGTTGGTCCTGTTGGAAAAGCCATGCCTCTGGCTGGCACTACGACCAACAGGTAGTCATGGTGGTCTACCAGGCCACCCAAGGGGAGCACCCAGGGTTAGGGCCGGGTCTCGGCAGCCTCCGCCGGGTCGTGCCAAGGCTCACACCAGCATCCTGCAGAAGATCCTGCTGCCTGTGCTGTTTCTGATGCAGGTACTCAACAGGAGTTTGGTCTCAAGGGCCGAAAGTTTGGCTTTGGTTTGGTTTTTACTCGCTCATGTTGCTTATACAAACAATTTTTGCTAGTCAAGAGACATCTTGTTTGGGGAGAACACATGCAGACCCGCTCATTTATTGTAGTAAACCAGAAGGTGCTATATTTAATACAATTATGGCAAATGGACTGACCCAAACCTGACGTCTACTTTGGACGGTGAATGTAGATTGGTCTTTACGTATTGTGAATGAGCTCTTCACACCTCTGTTCGAAAAGGGAGGAAGAAAGAGGCAAATTCAGTTTTACAGTATACACAATTTTAATAACAAAATTTTTCTGTACACTGCACTTTGTTTTACTCCATTACTTACACCCCCTCCCACCAGAAGTTGGCTCTTTAAACATAATTTAAATACAATGCATCTAGGACTCTTTTTAATCTCTGGTTGCTAAGCTGGTAGAATAGTTCACTTACTAATGTTTTCATTAGTAAAAAGAAAAATGGAGTGGGTTTTGTTTGTGTGGGTTATTTTTTTTGTTACAAAGGAGTGGTTGAAGGATAGCAGGTGTAGCTTTTCAGTGCTTACACCAGAGGTGCACAAGCCGCATGGTGTTACAGCGCAAGTTTTGCCCCATCTGAGGCTTGATTATATCCATCAAAGCTTCTGTTACCTTTCCCTAGATACCTCTCAAAAGGTTTTTATAGAAGATGTGAAATGCTGAATTTCCAGCCGACTCTGAAATGATCTTTAAGCATCCTGCTAGCGTGAGGGCTTAAAAAGCAAAGCCCAGCTCTGGTTTTAGCATGTGGGTCTTTTTGCAGTGGAGAAAGGTATGGGGAGGGAGCAGCTGCTGCTGTGCAACTGCCTTTGACTTTTGTTGTTGCCTTGCTTGTTCCTTTTTTTGGGGGGAGGAGAAATACTGTATCCCCGTCTGAACTTTTAATTTTTATGGAAAATTTCATAAGAAAGATGAAATTCAGCTTCTGCTTAGATTTCATAGATCTGAACAGATGGATTTTGATAGCTATGCAGATCACAAAATTAAATCAACTTAATTTCTGTACTACTTCAATGAAAATAAACTTAGACACATTAAAAATAAGTGTGTAGTGCAGATTTCTGGTTTAAAGCCACTGGATATTTCTGATTTTACATGTTAGCAATAGGCTACTCTCTTCTAAGGGGGGGTAATGGGACATAAGCTGAGATGCTTAGATTTGCATGCAGGCTAGGCTTATCGCTGAAAAATCAAATAATTTCTGCTTGGGGGGAGAAGCAAACAAAACCAAACATTGATACAGCAGCTTTAATTATGTTTCCATCTGATAGGAAACGGGAGCTCTGTGCAGAGGAACACTTCAGCTGGAGACTAAACGCTAACCCATTTTATTCTTTATTGAGTAATTTTTAGTTGTGTGCATTTAAATGATGATCTAATGCAGAGCGACTAACGAGAGGGGAACTGAAAGCATTAATTCAGACCTGTTCCAGTATGATGACTCAAAAATTGAACTTGTACTGCTAGGCTTGCATTTCATTGACACGAGGGTGGGGAGGAGGAAAAGCTGGCTGGAGATCAGTGAGGCTGGAGGAGATCTTTGGGTGGGATGAGGATCTCCAGAGCAGTAGAAGAAACTTGCATTTCTAAAAGGCCCTGAACGTTGGCGTGGGGCTGTGCCTAGAGGTGGCGAAGCACCTATAATGCCATTTAATCTCTGTAGAAACTGAGGGTGTGCATCAGAGATATTTGGGGGGAGAGCAAGCTAACAACCTCTTGTCGTCAGCTGGTGCTCATACTGAAATACGATTAGTTCAAACCAAATCATCATGGTTATTGTTCCATAAAATAAATTGGAGACTGCTGAGTAATGCAATTATTACAATACCCTCCTTGCCTGGAAGAGCCCCAAGCAATTGAGAATGGAAGACTGTCACTTTTTTTAAAAAAAAATTAAATAAATAAACCAAAAATTAACAGCCTCTGGTCGTGTCCTTGTGTAGAGCGATGGCTTTGCCTGCCGTTTGCTGTCTCTCCTAAGGGAATTCAAGTTGACTTCACTGCTAGTGCTTGACATTCGGTGAGTTTTATGATACCTGTTACCCTAAATGTAATGTTTGCAGAATTGCTTTGCTTACGCCTGGAACCTGGCAACAAATGGTTTTGGAAATGGCAGACATAAACCACGGCATTTGGGAGATTGGCTGCGTATTAGTGTGTAGTACAGAGAGTCAAAGTAAAATTGAATGGTGCTGTGCTAGGCTGTGTCTGCTGGCCTCCTGCTTTGCTGTCTGCAAGCCAAGGCAGCACTGCAGGACCAGTGTAAACTGGGGATGCTGGTGGGGGAGAGAGTTGGGTGCCTGGGTGTGTTTCCTTTGAGAGACACTGGAACAGTGCTTTAACGCTTGGAAGATAGGTATGAGGGGCTGGGATGGAGAAGAGGATTAAATCCATTGCTGGAACATCTGTCTTTACTCTTCTTGGGCATAATTATAAGCTAATAAAGATGAGAGTGGGTTTCTACGTAGAGCTGGGGCATTGAGAAAGTACCTCCTTGGGAGGAACCTTGGCACTTCAGTCAAGCGACTGCTTCTCGTTACCATGTGGAAGACTGACATGGTAGCTTTTGAACTGCCTTACAGCAAGGGTTTCTGCTGGGCACGGAGGAGAAAGGTGGAATTCCTTCTTGCAAACGCAGCTGAGGACATGAGAGTTTAGTATTGACATCTGATGGTTGATGATAACCCAGCCAGATTATTTGACTGCCAGTATAATGAATGAGTTCAGTTATAACTTCGTCTCTGCTGGTACCCTACAGCCGTACGTGAACATCATCCCGAAGGTGCCTACTTTCCAGTTCCCCCCGGTGCAGACCATCGTGTTAGTTAACAGGAGGTAAGGGAGGTGCACAGGGCAGGTTGCTGCCGAGACAGTGCTGCACGCTCACCTACCCAGAGCAGGATAAAAGCCTGGACGTAAAGAGCGAGCTGTGAGCGCTTACTCATGGCAAGGAATGAAGCAAGTCTTTCTACAAACAGCTAAATACCCTTGGATACCAATACATTTTTGTTTTTATCAGCTTAGGTCTGACTGCCTGGCTCACATGGGATTTAATCATACAGAAAACTTGCTCATTGTCCATCTGCCTCGCAGGATTTATTGTATGCAGTTAAAAGCAGTAATTGATTTCTTAGAATAGGTGTAAATTGGCCCATCGTAGAGGGTTCAAAGGTATCTCTGTGGAAAACTGTGAGGCTTCACTGAGTCTCTTCCATTAAAGTACAGAGTCACAGGAAGTAAACAAAATATTTGTTTTATAATAAGGGCATTGTATGTAAAAGTAAAATGATGCAAATTAATATCTTCAAAACCAGTAACTGAAAAATCTTTATGTAAAATCTTAACAGAAGTCACATTAATCTTGCTATAATTGCCTTGGACGAATTCATTTCACAATAAAACATCAAACTGTTGTATAATTGCACCCTAAATAGCTCACTAAGTGGTAATACAGATATATAAAAGCAGAGTGAAGTAGCAAACAGATTTTTATGCAGTGATTTTTCTGTTTAAAAAGTTTGCAGAGTAGTTTAGTACAACACAATTAGCATACTGTAATTACTGATTTGTTCCAGGTATGTCAACACTGTGAGGAATTTCTTTTCTTCATCGGTGTGTGCTGGTAATTGTTTAACACTGCAGCATCGGACACAACACATTTTTTTTTTTTTAGTTATACATACATGAATATATATATAAAAAATTTTCATCACTCTGGTCCTTTTAGCTTTGGTTAGAATGTTTACAATATTTGAGCAGTTGACTTAAAAATAATGTAATCTTTTGCAGACCCC